ATTTATTTTTTGGTACTGGGGATCGAACTTGGGACCTTATGCTTGTGAGGCAGGTGGCGGAACCACTGAGCTAAATCCCCCCCCTCTTAAGGTATATTTTTGATGTGGCTCAATATAGGTGAATTTATGATGTAATGGAATAACCTTTACATTGTGGGTATAAAGCTACCTAACAATTAGTACCAATTTCCTAATTTTTAAAGTGAAGTTGGAGCTGAATTTTTTAATGGCTCATTCTATTAGGAAAAGACTTCTGGAGTTGTTAGTACAACAAAAACTTTACGTCATTCAGCTAAAAAGTACCAGGTATACAGAAGAAAAAAAACACTGGTTTTGATTCATAAATATTGGGAAAAGGATCTTATTTCCTTACAGCCACCTTTCTGGGCTTTGTTTTCTATTGTCGCTTATTTAATTATTTCAGAGGTCTTTCCTCCTATTATCCTAGATAATAACTAACCATTCCTAAAATTTTTATAGCATGCTACAATAATTTAAAAATAAACATTATTTCTATTTATGCATAGAGAACTCATCTTCCAAATATTTTTAACATTTTAGTTTTAAGAAGGAAAACTGTCTCTGAAATTAATTAAAAAACATGAATTTTAAGAAGCTACATAAATGTTAAACTTCTATAATCAAGGTGGGGCAACATACAGAAAACCTAAGCCTCCATTTTCTTTTTAAAAGATTTATTTTTATTTTTCACTAATCTCATTTAAAGCCGACTAGAAGCTGAAATGAAAATAAAAGAAAACACCTACTTACAAAATACCTGAGTATAAACTTTCTTTCCTTCAGAAATACCATCTCTAGGTAGAGGAGACCTTAAAAGCAAGTACTATAAAGAAAGAAAACTTAGACCTCATAAGTAAAAAAGGCAAGAAAATCTCTTGAGCTTGTGCTTCATGCTGTCTATTGTTAGCTGTAGCCCTCAGAGCAGTTCCTTTACATAAAGTTTTCTAGAGTTAAAACGCAAGCCTACAACCTACTGAGCACTTGCAGCGTTTTATTATTTATTATACAACTATGTTATCAATGAATGGCAAAAATGTGTGCAAGGCAGCCCATAATTTCTTAGCAAAACTGATGACAATAAACCAAAGAAAGGTTTAAAGCATACTCTAATAGGTGGCTTAAAGTTTTTTTCTTACAATAACATTTAGAGTCAAGCCATGGGGTGCTTTATAGCTTAAGATTTCAATGCACTTAAAAAAAAAAAGAAGAAACTTCTCAGACTTCAGAGGATGGGCTATCGGACAGGGCCAAATTTGCTTCTGCCCCTCAGCAGCCTGGGAGAAGCAGGGCTCCAGTGCAGGCCTGGGGAATGGCTTTCTCGGCCAGCCTGCACAGGAAACTGCACTCCTCTCAAGAGCCAAGGTAGATTCGCAGAGCTTACAACAGTCCTGGCAATTAAATTCTTATTTTGGGATTCCCTGGATAACTGAAGTCATTTTTTAAAAAGTTAAATCTGATAATAAACATTTAACTTCATTGTTTTTTTCTTCTTTCGGGGGGGGGGTATCAAGTTGCTTCCCCAAACAAGTTGGAAAAAGACACAAACTATTTAATTCCTCAGACACTGGAAAATACTTAGCAAATGTGCATTAGCCAATTAATAGAAAGTAAGACTTTTGTGCTTTTTTTTTTTTTTTTTTTTGGTACCAGGAATCGAACTCTGGACCTTACACTTGTGAGGCAGGTGCAGGAACCACTGAGCTAAATCCCTGGCCCGAAAGTAAGACTTTTAAAGAAAGTCTTTGGAGGTCACAAAATTAAGGCTCTTTTTTCCTTTGGTATAACTGGCATAGCAACTATAAAAATGAATTTAAAACATTTAAGTTTATTTTTAATCTACCATTACTTGTGATTTTAAGTATTGCCCATTAAAAAAACTCTGGAAAAATCAATGATAAATTTAGATTTGATTTCTGAAAATAAATCTTTTAAAATAGGGAAGAACACTGAAATTGAATTAGATTTTAATGTATTATGTCAACATGTAAACTCAAGATTAGTGTATAAATAGCAAAACCTTTAAAAAGAATTTTTATGTTCCTCTAACTATATGACTTGGGAAAAAACAAGTCTCCCTAGATGTGGAACATACTGGAAACTTGTTCCAAGAGAAATCTTTTCCAAGTCTTTTGCTGCCCATGATCGTAACACCAAACTGAGTAAGAAAGAGTAAGGCTTGTCATTTATATGTCATCTGCCTGGCTGTTTTAGAAGGAAAATGTGGTTAAGTTCTGACACATCAAGGGCTGCCTTGGAGTTACAGTTATTAATTATGATGGACTAAAAAGTTAAGCAGCATTTAGGGACATGGTCTGGGAACTTATCAGATGCTATGAAAATACATGGGATTTTACTTTTGTAATTCTAATATACAAACACACTGAGAGAATGACAGTTCTTAAGGAAAAAGCCAGAAGTAGGATAGCTTTTTCTTCTACATTCCTGGCACTTTGGTCATTTACACTACTTGCTACAAACGCAGGCCTTGACACACAGGTGGAAGGAAGGCTAGAAGGGGTGCCTGGCTGCCATGCTCAGCCACTGCTCTAAGTGTAGCGCTGGGGACCCCAAGCGGGAAGATACTCACCGGGGTGCTGGACTGTTCTGTCAGTTTCTGCTCCCACATCTTTAGCCGTCTTTCCCGTTCTTTGAGCTCTTGCTCTTTAAAGCTGAGATCACGCTCTAGCTTCTTTAGCCGCTCAAGGGTTGCCTCAATTTCGCACCTGTGCAGGGATAACTGGTTTAAGTTTCAGGTCTACTGAAGTGACAGCGGATGCTCAGTGGGCCCATCAGAAAGCTAATCACAGTAAAAGACTAATTAACACATGTAAGCTTTGAAATTGACTGGGAAATGGCCATTAGGGAGCTTTCACATTCTTAAAAGTCAAGGGGTAGCTTTTAGTTTGGAACAAGCTCAAAGTACTTCAACAAAGCATTGCTGAAGAGCAACTGGAGTTCAGCACAAGTGTGGAGCTGGTATCCTGGGTTGGCTATTTGGCACATGCTTACATCCACTGAGCTCTCCACAGTTTACAAAACACTGTTATATAGTCTCTCATCTTATTCCCACAGAGCCCCCCCCCAAAAAAAACTCAGATAATTTTGAATTATGGATAGGAAAATGACATTCAGGTTAGGTGATGGAAACATTATCAGTAAGTGATTGAGATGGCACTTTAGCCTACCTAGTGGGCGAACCACCCAAGAAATCAATTGATTACCCTCAGTTCCTTTGGTTATAGGGATGGTGGCTGTGTTGTCAGGGTTCCACAACTGGACTGATCCTAAGAATTACCTGGGCAGCTTGTTGAGAACAAGACGCAACTCCTGAGACCTTTCTTTGGAGTCATGATTAGGAGGCTAGGTCGGGACCGGAATTTCCATCACTCAATAATTGATCCAGGTAGCTTTTACAATCAGGCAAGTGTAGGATACGGTGGGCCAGAGGAACTCTCAGGAGCTTTAATAATTTTTAAAGGAAGTTCCCTCCTTCATCTTTCTGGGTAATCAGCTTCACACTTGGAACAATATGCCCAGTGGCAGAAACCTGTCCTTCACAGAAACTGGCAGTGGGAAGGTGGCTGAGCACAAACTTTTTCTTCTTCAGGGCTGCTATGATGTTAATGTCTAAATTTATGCTGTAAGGACTGGAATTTCTTACCTTGAGTTTTTAAAGGGCATGTAAGTAAGCCATAGTGATGAGAGGAAGCTTAGGGAGTAGGGAGTGAGGGGGAGGGAAGAAAAAACCAGAAAGGCCCACAGAGAAAGATAAGGAAGAGACAGGCATTGGTGAACTGATTTGGCTTCCAAACCTGCATTACAGGCTGTATCACCATGGCTGGGACTTTGAATGTGGAAGAGAGAAGCTCCCAGATTTAAGTTAATGATTATATGTAATCAAAATCTGCCTTTTTATTTCCAAGGAAAATCAGAATAAGTGGATGGCTTATTCTGATGCTCTCACAGATGAGAACTAAATGAATGAAAACAAGAAGGTTCTAAGTGGGGCCGGGGATTTTGCTCAGTGGTTCTGGCGCCTGCCTCACAAGCACCAGGTCCCAAGTTCAATCCCCGGTACCAAAAAGAAAAAAACAAAAAAAAAAGAAAGAAAGTTCTAAGTATTAACTGGCAAAGCCCAATTCAGGGACCGTCTACTGGTATGGGAATGGATTTGGGCCCAAGGCTTCACTCTCCTGCTTGTCTGAAGAGTTCCTTAGAGCAAGGGAGGCAGCAAGAAAGCATAAAACACACTGGTGTGCCACCCACAAATACCAGCACTGCCCCTTTCACAGGTGCCATGTGAACAAGCATAAAAGCAGAGAATCAAGTCCCTACAGAACAAGGCATTAAAGCAGCAGTCTTTCAGAATTATGACTATATCATAAAGTCTAAATTTATTTTTGACAAATTATTTCTGATAATTATCATTTAATTTCTGACCAAAATATTGTATCCTCCTAAAACAAGTGGGAGATTAGGAGGGATCAATATGGCAAACCTTCAGGTAAACTGTTCTAACAAAAGAAGGGCATCCTGTTTTCAGCCAGTGAGGGCCAGAGGGTGGCAAGCAGGCCGTGCAGCTGGACATGCCTGGTGAGATGAGACGCAGTGGCCTGGACCACGGGTCTGGGTGGCACTTGGACAAGCCCGTCCCAAAGCTACTGCCAGTGAGACTGATCTCACTGATGTCCTTTCCGATCAGGGTAAATGGCCAACACATTCTGTTTCACTTGTAACTGAGCCCAAGGACTCATCTCAAGTTCCAGCTCTGGGAGCCCTCTGTGGTTCTGAGCCCTTCTGGAACATATCAATAGTTATAAGGAAGCTGAAAGGTGTGGCACAGGAACAAACATTGACCGAGAAGATACTCTTCCTCAGGCTGTCTCCCCCACCCCAGCTCCCCAAACCTGCACCCCAGGACCTGAGCTCTGCGTCATTAGGGATGAAACCCAAACCCAAAGACACACAAAGAGGCTGCCCTCCTTGCCATTCCCTTTGCTTTTGCTGGAGCATTGCTTTACATCAAATGCATTCAGTGATGCATTTATGTAACCTTTCTGTTCTAAAAATTGTTTAAATGTCTTAGTTGATGAAAATTTTGGTTAACTTTTAAATCCAGATGAGATTGATTTCAACTAGTATCAACTTTCCCTGTGCAATTACAATAAACTGTAATTATCTTCGTTCATTAGACAGAAATTTACTTTGAAATAAAAATTCAATTTTCAAAAGCAGCAATATAGTATTGTGTACCTATATTACATGACATATAAGTACATTAAAGTTTGTGTCTATATTAAATAATTTGTGCTAATATCCAAATTGCAGAGATTACATTTTTTTTTGATCTCTGTTTTTTGTTTTCAAGAAGGCGTATCATGGTGAGAGTACTTTGGTCACCAAGGAAAAAATACAACCAACAAAGTATTCTGCCAAGAGACAGATCTGAACGCACCATCACAAGCCCACGCAGCTCGCTCAGAGGACATTGCCACACATTTGCAGATGGTCACACCAGCCAGTGACAACTGACAACAGCCCCAGCAGGAGGACATGTTTCTGTCCCTGATGCTTCTAAGTCAATAGGAAGAGAATCAAGCTGAGGTTTGGATGAATAAAAATGTCAGATACTAGATTTCTTTCCTATCACTTAGTAGGTCAAAGGGAAGGACATAGTTTGTGTGGTTTTTAATAATCTAGTTTTAAAAGAATTTTCAGAATCATTTAATTTTCTAAAAATAGAATTTCCATCTGGTCTACATGTAGAGGAATCTCTACCAGACAACAGTCATCTGACAAAAGCACCACAGCAGGTTTGGAATCAGACTTCACTGTGACTCTTGTTTGCAAAAATATTCTTTGGATCCTGGTCACATGGTTTTAGACACCAGAAAAAAGTTGAGAGAAAGCAGGGAGTAGTTTGAATGTGTCATCCTTTGAAATATCCAGATGATCTGATAAACACACATTATTCTTTTTAGCACTTGACGTATCAGGTAAGACAGTCTTGTTGCCTTAAGAATAACCTGAAATGATCATGCCCTGCAATATGTCTCATAGCTAAAAAAAGAGTCTGGTTAGGTGAATGCTGCACATTTACATGGGGATGACATGACCAGTGGCCATGGTCTGGCAACAGTACTGCATGAGGCATTTGTCTCTGTGCCTGGTCACTGGGTCCCGTTAAAGGCTCCTTCCAGTACAGAATGATCTCAGGCAAGCGACCAAGCACCTAGGCCTCAGTTTTTACATCTCTGAGACAATTAGGGTTGCCATGGAGATTTAAAAAGATGATCTAAAGAAGTACAAGCATCTGGTAGGAGCCTAATACATAATAACTGTATTTATTAATTTTTTTTTTACCATAATTGGTATTACTCCCTATGTTTTTAACCAATTGCTGGGTTTGTTTACAGCAGCTCTGCTGCTTCCAAGCTGTGGTTCTCTGGCTCGGGTAAGGGCGTGCATTCTTCCTGCAGCTCTCCAGCAGGGTTAACAGCTCCTGAAAGAGCCACAGAGGGGGTCCTTAGACAGAGGTATGCCCTTCCCTAAAATATTATGGGAGGATTTGCCTCTTTATCACCTCATACTCTATTGCCAATTTTATTCCCCTCATTTTCTCCTTGAAGTACTTTGGTTTGGTTTGGTTTGAGCCGGGGTCTGGTTGTATTCCACAGGCTGGGCTTGTGGTCCTCCTGCCTCAGCCTCCTGAGTAGCTGGGATTACAGGTGTGCACCACCACACCTGGCTTTCACCCGGAAGTATTTTAACAATTAAATTTGTCATTTAACTAATCCAGATTTAATGTATACAAATAGCACTCTTCAATAATCCCATTACTCAGTGATAAAATTAACTTCTTTATATTTCCCCCTATACTCACAGACATATACATACAAATGTGCATTTGACAGAAATGGGATCATTCTAAACAAACTAGACTGTAAAGCCTCTATTTAAAAATCATTTAGCAGATCTGTGTAATCATGAATTTTTCTAAACTATTTTGTGTATAGAGATATTGGCATTTTTAGAAACCATTCCTCTTGTACTTCATACCTTTCTAGTTGTGCGATTCAAATGAAGCTTGGCTGAACGAATGCCCACACATTGCTTGTTCAGCCTTCCCACTTATTTGCTTAGGAAAAAAATGGTAGTAGTAGGATTTCTGGGACAAAAAAAATGAACACTTTAAGGCCATCTAACTTCCAGAAAGCTGTATTTTCCTACTAGCAATGCACTGGAAAGCCTATATCCCTCGATATTTTTCATAATGTAAAATTTTCCCATGTGATAAAACAAATTATGATCCCATGTATTTGCCTGATTGCTAAGTGAGGCTGAATTTTTAAAATATTTATTAAACATTCCACATCTCTTTTTATGAAATGCCTTTTCATGACCTTAGTATGACATTTTAATTAAAATGTTATTTTAAAGATAGTTACTCTATCAGAGTGGTTTTTCAAGGGGCTGGGGATTTAGCTCAATGGTTCCACCGCCTGCCTCACAAGTGGAAGGACCTGAGTCCGATCCCCGGTACCAAAAAACAAAACAAAACAGAGTGGTTTCCAGTGTGGACTGGAGACTCATGAAATGTTTTCAGCGGATTCTTGAGGTCAAATTGGTTTTTAGAATAGCGATGAGACAGAATTTCCTTTTATATTCCCATTCTCTCCAAGGCTTCATGACATGTGATAGCCACAGGCTGGATGCAGAAACAAGATTTACTGTTGATTTTTAAATGAATCAATAAATTCATATTTAAACTTTTTTCTCATTTCTTTCCCCCAGCACTGGAGACTGAACGCAGGGTCTCAAGCATGCTAGGCAAGTGTAGCCATTCTTTGAGACAGAGTCTAAGTTGCCCAGGCTGGTCTTGAACTTTCCATCCTGCTTCAGCCTCCTGAGTAGCTGGGATTAGTCATGCACCATTGTGCCTGGCTTCAGTTCTATTATTGAAGGTGGTAACTATTGACAGATATAACTCTTTAAACAAAAGTTCTTTGGATTCTTCAATAATTCAAAGAATGTAATGGAGTCCTGAGACAAAAACATTTGAGAGATGGAAAAAAAAGTTGTAACAGCATGTCATTTCTCTTGGAAATTTATTCATCATGGGTATTGCTTTCATCCATATGAAGGTTTTAAAGTTTTATACATAAAATTTACCAACTTCTCTTTGTTTTCTGATTTTGTTGACATACTTTAAAAGTCTTGCTATCTCAAGGGTATCAATACTAGTGTTAAATCCACTAATCCTTTGGATAGCAGATCAAACAGCATTTCCTTGGGGAATCCTTTCATTCTATCCTCAAACTGGATCAGATTTCATGGTTAATACTCTCAGATAACCAGTACTTCTCTGTCATAATGCTTGTCAAAACAGCAATTAAGTTATTTGTGTACTTATATTTAGTAGTTTAACATTGCATACTCCTGCTGGAGGGCGCCGTGTACTCTGAGATAGCTGGACTTGTGGCTATGGTTTGATACCTGGGCAGCACCAGCCACTCTTACACTAGCAAAAGAAATCTATGAATGAAAGCAGAGGAAGCACTTTCATGAACTTACACGTGTTTATTCTCTCACATAAGAGCATTATGCCTCTTACATTATGACCACTGTGGTATTTTCTTTTTTGGTGCTGGGAACTGAACTCAGGACCTTGCGCTTGGAAGGCAGGCACAGTGCCACTGAACTAAATCCCTGGTCTGACTGTGGTATTTTCTTCATTCCTTCCCTATATATTTAGGGAGCAGCTGTGTGTGCAAAGCGTGTTGTAGCTGCAGTGGGGACAGTAATGACAGAAGAGATGGTCTGCCCCTCCCACATTTTGGCCAGTGAGATATAAACACTAAAGTGCAGAGGACACAGGTGGGACTGACCTGGCTTGAGGTCAGAGGAACCCCCTTGTGGATGTATTAGGGCAGCAGCCACCTGAATGGCTGGGAGGAGCTGGGGTGGGGTCAGGCCGCTGCGATGCTGAGCCAGCAGGATGGTTCTACACAGAGGAGACCAAGCAAGGGAGAATATGCCTCAGCAGAGGGACCAAAGGCCAGATACTAGGCAGTAGAATGGTGCTCTTAACATGAGGCCGGTGAGGCTGGAGTCCAGAGGTTTTCTGAGTCTTCTTAAGTATTTTGGTCTTTGTCTTAAGAACCATGAGAACCCATGTATAGATTTTAAAGGGGAATGATATCATTAGATGTGCACTATCCTCTTACTGCAGGAAACAATATTGCTTCCCTGCTTTGTTAATTATTTCAGCTCAGAGACCAGACCTAGACTTGAGCTCAATGAATTCATTTTGTAACCCTAAATAAAAACTTATTAAACTCACTGGTTCTTATTCCAAAGGAATAGGAATAAATAAGGCTATTGTAAAATACCAATCAAACAGCCCAAAGAAATGTCCAGTGACTTTCAAAGTGTGTGCAGTGTTCATCTGGGATCAGCAGATGGCGTAAGGTGTCATGTTACAGCCATGGCTATCAGGAGCAGAGATGAAATTACTTAAAATCTCAGCTGAGTCAGGGGAGGGATAGTGTCAGTTCCCAAACATGCTATTTATATTCCTGCATCATGTGACCTGGCTTAAGTGTTTCATCTTAGGCTTACTTTTTCCACTCATAGAATTCTCTCATTACTCAGTTTGTATTACACTTAACAAATTTTAATAGGATTTATAACATCCAAAGTTTTATCTTGAAAGTTTTTTAATGGTCTCCCTAGCCTTTTGCACTAGTGGATTCAGTGTTCTGCAAATATCAAGGCTAAAGAATATTTTTATCTCTTACTGGACATGGCCCAAAGAAATGTCTGGTAATCTTTCGTCTCAGAAGATATGCTTTCAACTTTCTTTCCAAAAACTCAGACACATACTAAGGTAACAAGCTTAGAGAAACACTCTTTCTTGCTTACCTATGAAAAGGAAGACTTATAAGATCTCTAAAATCTTAAATTTTTTTGTATGTGTGTGCTGGGCTTAGGAATCAGGACTGTCATCAAGTCCTCGAGTTCTCTTCCTTTGAGGCCGGTCACGGACTTTGAAGCCGGGCCAGGGCTACCCACCTCCACTCTGCCTTGTTGTGCAGGAATGAGTTACACTGGTCAGGGAGGCTTGCATCATTTGACATGGAGTCCAGAATTGAAATGATTTGCTTGAATGATGGTCGTTTCTGAAGAAGAAAAGAAACGTAATCACTTGTGGAGCCTTAAGAAAGAAGAGAAAAATGTAGACATCCACAGCCAACTAACAAGCTCATCCAATCAGGACCAAATAAAACATGATACAATGTTCTGATGTGGTTATTTCACAACTGTAAAATTACTCTGGTTTAGGGAAGAAGGGATATATTTCCAGTTAATTTTTACTCCTAAAAATAGAATCAGATGTTGTTTTTCTATCACACGGCCTAAACCTGAGATAACTAATATTTTTCTCTAGGTAAGGAGTGCATTTATTCTCTCTGTGAGGTGTGATTAAGGACTCATAAAAGGAAAAACTCACTTAAAAATCTATATGATGGAGGGCTGGGGATTTAGCTCAGTGGCACCATATCTGCCTGGCAACCACAAGGTGATGAGTTCAATTCCTGGTACTGGGAAAAAAAAATCTATGTAATGAAGGTATTAAAAAGCTAGCGGTAGGGCCAGGGATTTAGCTCAGTGGTTCCGCCACCTGCCTCTCAAGCACAAGGACCCAAGTTCAACTCCCAGTACCAAAAAAAAAAAAAAAAGTTACTGGTAAAGTCTGCACGGTGGACATGTTAGTATTCCCTGTAAAATTCTTTCAATTTTTATGTAAGTTTGAAAATTTTTATATAAAATTATGGGAGAAAATATATCTATCAATCTATTGGAAGCAATAAAAATTTTAAAATCAGTTGGGCAGTGAAGAAAACAATTTTTAAAGCTATCATAACTTCATTGTTCTTACTATTTATCCCACAGTAGAACTAGCTTTAGTGCTGGGATACTGTAAGACATTGTTCACAGAAATTGAAAAAGCAGCAGTTAAGCATATTTCAGCAAGCAGTAAGTACACTAGTCTTTGTCGTCAGATTCTAGCCAAGGTTGAAACAAAAGGTTAAAACAAAAATGGAGAAAGATAATAAAAGGATGATGCACCTTCTCTCTTTAGGATGCCTCATAATTATACCATCTCTGAACAAATTACAGTCACGGCAATTAAAACATGCATTTTAATTTAGGAGCATAAAAACAAGAAGGAACAATGCTGAGGTGGTGGCTTGCTCTCAGGACTTGCGTGTTTCCTACATTACTAAGAAAAGCAAATTTTCCATTTCTCAGAAATATACAACTAGAATATTTATTGAGCTCTGCCATTGTTGTTGTTCTTTAGAATGTGTGTGCTTGTGTGTGTGTCCTTTTTAAGAAGGCATATGTAGCTAAATGTTATGATGCACATTAAGCCATCTAATAAAGAGGAAGATGGCTTCTGTAGGCAATCTTTAAAAATATTCTGTCTTCTTTAACTTTGTTTGCACCTTAATTTCTCCACAATGTCAGGTTTTAAAAGAAAGAATGTTTTAATTGTTTGCAAGGAACTAATTACATAATAAATAAAAGATTTTCATTTTGCAAGGCAGCAGGAAGAGCTAATGAATTTTTAAAGAACAATATTTTTGCCTGCATTTAATTATTCTTGAAACAAGGTAAAACTCTTTTGTAATTGGATGACAAGCAACCCTAGAAAAATCTTAATTGTACAGTTAGAATCTACACTCAGATAAAAATGATGAAAGTGAACATTTAAAAAACAGTAAACAGCTGCGTGTACTGGTCTCAGTTATTTGGGAGGCTGAGGCAGGAGGATCACTTGAGCCTTGACCCCAGGAGTTCACCATCAGCTTGGGGAACATAGCAAGACAAGCAAGACCTGATCTCAAAAACAAACAAGGGCTGGGGATTTAGCTCGCAGTGGCACCTGCCTCTCAAGTACAAGGTCCTGAGTTTGACTTCTAGTACCAGAAAAACAAACAAACATATAAATGTAATAACAAATGGAATTTTGTGATGATTTTTGAGCATCCTGGTTATAGAATACATTTGATGTAGGATCTAATGGACATTCTTCTGGGGGCTTAGATTCCTTTTAGGTATTATGTAAATTTGCTTATTTAAAAAATACAACTAGATCATTTATTAAGCATCTCTTTTATTTCTCTATTTGTTATTTCCATTTTATAAATAAGGAGAACTAGTCTCAGAAAAGTATAAACTGCCTGGCATCACACAGGAAGCAACTTAACAGAAACAAGGGGTCTTCTCTTAAACTTTTCCCATCTTTTACCAGAAGGGTAAGTAAGATGTTACTTCCTCTTGGCTTTGGCTACTGTATTCTTATTCAGAAATTTCACATTAAGGCTTAACGCAATACTCCTTTCCTTTCTTCCTTTGTTTCTTCAATAAAATATTTTGATTACCAGTATAGGCCACTAGAGTGACCTGACACTTACCTAATACCAGCTCTCTCTTATACACATCTCCCCCTTCTCATTGCAAAAGAACACCAGACCTAGAGATGGACCAGATATTTTAACCTATTATGTTAATCCTCAAAAGTCTAAGGGTTGAAAAAGAAGTAAAATACTTTAAGCAACTGTTGCTCTCCAAATTTGCACAGGACTGGGTTCAACTACTGGTTGAATTGCTATATTTCTAGCCAAAAAACTGAAATGTACCTCAGAAAATTTATTACGGTTTGGCTTCTTTGGGCAACAACAAATTGGGCATCTACTTAGTAAACTGATAAAAAGTCTTATAGGGAAACACATTTAAGAACTAGATCTATGGCCTTGTAGAGCTTGCAATCCATTTAGAAAGAAAAGGATATTAAAACAAACAAACAACAAAACAAAACAAAACAAAACAAAACAAAAAAAGCAACATGGCAGCACAAAACAGGGCAATAGGCCGGACTGTGGTTTGGAAAGGAATCCTAAGCCCAGGTTGGGTCTGGCAGAGTAACAGGGAAGGTCCAAAGATGAAGTATTCAGGGAGAAGCACAGGACACAGGAGCAGTAACAGTAATAACAGTGGTCAGGGAAGGACAGAGTGCAAGGCATGTCTGGAGATGGGCAAGGAGATGGAAATGCAGGCTGCACCCCGCTGTTCAATCAAATCAAATACAGGGGCATGGAGTAGTTTTATCAGTGTAAAATTTTATGGCTTTCGGAAACAAAATTCAATGTTAAAGTATCCTTATATTTTACTTGGCAGGAACATAAGATTTTTTCAGTCTTAAAGAAAGGTCAGCTGTCCACATGTTGGGGGCCTGACAACCTCGTGACTTCATCACTGGTCCAAATGTCCTTGGTGTGTGAGGTGTTTATTGTATCACTTAATCAATATACCATAATGCATATTCTTAGAATTGTAATGAATGTGGTACCAAGTGTCCAATTAAAAAATTAAAAACTTGCTTTGCAGACAGAAATATAATTGCAGTTATAGAGATATAGCTGAATGAATGTAATTCAAGGCAAATAATTTCAAACAAAATTTCTATTTAGGTATGACAGAAAAAATACTACCCAAATCACTGTACATGTTACAAGGGACATATACTCTGTAGAAGTAGGGAGAGGGTAGTATGATACCTTTTAAACAGTACAAAATATGTTAAAGCAAGCTTGCACATATCTGCTTAGTTTCAACTGGATTAGAATCAAAGTACAGACATTTTTCTTAATGTGTAAAAACCCCACATTCTGCAAATCACATACTAAAAATAATAAGGCTAGGGCCGGGAATTTAGCTCAGTGGCACCGTGCCTGCCTCTCAAGCGCAAGGTCCTGAGTTCAATTTCCGGTATCAAGAAAAAAAAATGATGATGATGATGATGATGATGATGATGATAATAATAATAATAAGGCCCACACAGAGGTAAGGGAGACCATTCAAAACCCATGCAATGGGCCGGGGATTTAGCTCAGTGGTTCCACTGCCTGCCTCCCAAGCACAAGGACCCAAGTTCGATCCCTGGCACCAAAAACAAAAGAAAACAAAACAAAAAAACCATACAAAGAACACTAATAAAAATAACAAACCTAAATAAAAATACTAATATAGTCTAAAAACATGCTAAATTCCCTAAAATTGATATCAAATAAATGTAGGACTTGATTTGAAAAAGAGGTGGGAAAGATTTAAGAATAAGAGTGAAAACAAAGACTGAGGGCAGCTGAACAGCAGGACTAAGGCAGAATGTGCAGGGCGGGTGGAACAGCACTCAGGCTCCAGGCAACAGTGACTGCAGCATGGGGCGTGAAAGGACATCACAGCACGGGGCCCCTCACTGCCTTGCTGGCTGCTCTGCTGCACTTTGCCCTCAGTGCAGAACAATGTGCCGGGAAACACTGTGCACGAATAGATACGGATTTTGTGTTTCACTAACACAGTGCCCATATTCACGAATTGTCTCTGAGCTTCCCCACCAATGCAAAATGTGGTAGAAGAGTGGACTCTGCTGTCATCATTCATTTTCTTGAAGGTCACATTAGAATTGGGCTAAAGTTAAGAAAGAATTCCAGTTTTAGTCTTTCTTTTTAGGCCTGTATTTGAAAGGTCAATTGTAATGCCTCTATTACCATGAAAAACTGAACAGATTTGGACCATAAAGGTTTTTGTTACTTTCCTGGTGTAACTGCTCTCTTATTCTAAAGTTTACTTTGTTGAGAATCTTTTTTATTCTTTAATTTTTTATTATGGAAAATTCTAAACATACATAAAAATAGGGAAGAATATAATGAACCTCTATTAAAATTGTTTTTAAAAGCTTCATAAATTATCATGGCCAATCTGACTTACTTTACACCGTTATACATTTTCTTTCACCTTATTTTGATGCAGATCCAAGACTGGCCCATCATTTTACCTATAAATATTTCCGTATGTGTGCAAAAGTCTTTTAAAGTGGTCTTTGCAGGGAAAGGAAATGGAACCATCGTGCTCAGATATAACCACACGAAAGCCTAAGGTTTGGAATTTCTCCAACTCTACTGTGATAACTTCAAAACATCCCTGAAATCGGACAGGAGGATATACTAAGAATCTCTAGAAGTGCTACTTGTGCCTGCTACTTGGGTAGAAAGGCGATAGAGAATAGGGGTAAGGCAGGGACTCAGGCCAGGCTGCCTGGGTTCATATCCAGTCCCACCGTGTATTAGCTGTGTGGCCTTGGCTCTTTACTTAACCTCTGTGTGCCTTGATTCATCAAATGCAGGATGAGGATAATAGCAGCTCCATTTCAGAGACATTCTAAGGAATAAATGAGTTCATATAAATAAAGTGCTTGGAACAGTGCCTGGTATATAATAAGTACTGTGTGTTAGCCATTTTTATAACATAGAAGTGCAGTGGTTATTATTAAAGATTAAAAACAAAAGAATAAAATTATTTTTACTGAGTCAAGGATGCTATAAAAAAGTCAGTAATGAGACTCTGGAGATGGAGATAAGGAGACGACAACAGAGGGCCTTCACAGTCAACCTGGGGCTCACAGGAATAGCAACTCAGCTTTGCAGTATGAGGGATTCTACTACTCCAAGTTTTAAAACTCAAAACAACAAAAACAAGTGAAATTTCAGGATTCTGAACAACAAAAACATACCTTGGCATCCGCTTCCCAACACTGATGTAACAGTTCAGCAAAACTTCTGGGGCAACTGCTTGGAATGGTTAGTCTCTATACCAGGAGAAGGCAAACAAAACAAGGACTTATTCATTAAGGTGAACAAATACTATTTGAAAGGCCCTAAAAGAGTTAGTTTAGGATCAGAAACAAAATATGAAATTTAAAATTTCCATGGATCAATATACGACAGAGGAGAATTGATGTTGAGATTTGTAATATCTAATCTCTAAAGACTCCAATTTTTCCTTAGTGAATGGAGAAGTCAGGTTCAAGCATGACTAATGTAACAAACAAAACAGCAGGTTAGTCTAAAAGAAGCAGCAGTAGGACAGGGCAAGTTGGAACCTAAATGCTAAATCTAAAACCACAAATTTATTACCATAGACAATATATCCAAACAGGCCATGTAATTAGGAAATCAGTTTAGCTTTTGGCAACAGGTACATTATTCAGAAAACATCTTCAGCCCAGATGATTAGAAATAATTTAAAGGAATTCTGCATTTTGTCATTGATAGGACATTCTGAATGCATGACTCACTATGGCTTTGATTTGGTTAAATCCATATAGTGTAGGGACTGGATATAACACAAATCATCATATAAGGAACAATCCTGTTCTAACATTCTACAGTAGCGGTTCTCAGAACATGTCATGCCCCAATCCCGAGGAGGTCTTTTTTTTGGTTTTAAAGATTCAAGGGGCTCAGCTATAGATAAGTGGTAGAGCACCTGCCTAGAATGTGTGAGGTCCTGGGTTCAATCTCCAGCACAGTAAAAATAAATGAATGCTAGTCATCCTTTAATACACAATAAAGTCCTACATAATCAAGAATTCACTTATAATTTACCAAATATCAAATGTCTTATGTATATTCACATAAGCGAGACAAGCAAGTAATGAGGTTTATAATTTTCTGGCCCTAGACTGTAACTCTGATTTACAAATAAACACCAAATATTTTTTGAACAGTTTTAAAACATATGAAACTTTTCAAGAACTCAACTATCAAATAAAATACATCAAAGGCAGATTGACTTTTACATTACTTATAACTTTACCTAGATTTTTGAGACTACCAACAGCAACAGTTTGCTCTCAATACTGCAGGCATTAATATGACGCAACTCTATGAACTTGCAGCTGCTGAACTCTATTTACCCATAGGTACAAGGACCTAAGAATGCCTCAGTATCTCTTCCAATGTGGTCATGCCTGAGCATCTGTAAAATGCAATCTACATGTTTCATTTATTTATTTTTTATAATACAGCATTGTATTGATGTAACATACATTGTATGCAGGTAAGTTGTGCTTCTCTGAATTTCCCATCAGGAGACTGAAGGATGTTAACACAGGAGTTGAGAACTGTTGTACTACAAAGTATGAATAAGACATATTCCCCAGAAGTCTTGCAAGCAGAAAACTTTATACTGAACTTAGCTGAATTTGGGAGAAGCTATATGTAAAGCTAGAAAGAAAACCAATGATCTGTTTTTGGAATTATGGATAATCTTAAAATCAAAACAAAGTTGACAAAACAATCCTCTCCAGGTTAAAGACTAACCAAAGCACTTTTAAACTTCTAGTCTAGTGATCTCACAAATTAGAATAACATGTATTAAACTGTACTATTATTTTACTGTAAAGTTGACCCTCATAAGAAGGAAAACCAAGTGTTTGCTTTTTTCTCCTTACAAGATATCTGGGAGGTGGCAACTAATAAAAACACACTACAATTGCATTTATGCAACTAAATTTTCTTCATGTGTAACTAAAGATAATGCGTTTTTGGGAAGGGTAACACTTTTCAATACAGTCTTTTTTCAACATTCTTCTGTGAACTGAAATGGGAACTGGCTGAATACAGACGAGCACTTCTGTCATCTTTTCTTCCTGAAAAACATTTTAGGCACAACACCTGAAGCATTACACAAAGAAACACAATCATTTTAAATAATCTGATATTGATCAGTTAAATCTAGACTCACTTTGAGTAAGGGATTATTTTGGTGCATTAAAAAGTACTTTAAAATAGAATCCAAAGAATTTAAATCCTGATTACATAACTGTGCACACTCTTAATGCATTAAAACATTCTAAAATAACATAGCACCAGGCTTGCAATATATAAAATTTAAATATTTAAAAATAAAAATTCACGTTTAAGATTAAAATGTTTCCCAGTCACTAAATTAGGCATAACATTTAAAAGACCATATTTTTATACTATTTCCTATATAAGATGTAAAAATTATTTTTAAGTCAAATTTTTATCTTTCTGAAGTATAGTCAAAAGGAGTAGATCTATTTTTATGAAGGTTTCTATGTTAGTTTTACTTTTCTGTTTTGTTCAAAACAGATTTTATATAAGAATCTAAATATTTATAAAAGTAGAAATTATGCTACCAGAACATCTGAAATGCTGATCAAGTTTCATGGGAATTACAAAGCAAATAAGCATACTGTTTTATTTAAAAATTTTCTTAGTAATATAGACTTAATTTCATGGTTTCTATAAAGGTTCATTGTTTACTTGGTAAAGTTTAGCAGAGCTTTATGAATCTAATTTTAATATTAGAAAAGATACTTATTTATAGGCCTTACTTCATTAATAAGGGACTAGAAACAAAAACTTTCAGATACAGTTTTACAAAGTATTAATTGTCAGATAGATGAAAATCACAGGTATGAATGGTGAAACTGAGTAAGATCTGGATTGGTGAAGAGTAATGTGTTGATCTTAATTTCCTAGTTTTGATACTGTACTACAGCTCCACAAGGTACCACCAATGGGGAAGCTGGGGAAAGGGTACACAGGATTCCTTGCAATATTTTTATAAATTCCTGTGAGTCTATAATTATTTCAAAATAAAAAATTACAAAGAAAGAGCACCCCTAATAACTGGGTGACTGGATCACATTTAAAATTTCTCCCTGACAGTTTAAACACATAATTCTTTATTTAAATGAAGCCTGTTAAAAATATAGCTACTTTTTTTTCAACCCAATAGCTTAAGGTATTCAACAGTTAAAATAAGTAAATAAAATAAAATAATTAAAAGTTGAAGGCGTTTGGTAAACTTCATTTCTTCAGGTCTCAATTTTGTTATTCAATGAAATCAATCATTGGGAATTACTGCTGTATAGAAAGACAATGTGTTCTGGAAATGAGTGCCTCCATTTATGAGGTGAAATGAAGACACGATCTTATCTTGAATGACAACACTCAAAATTGCATTTGCACTTAACTTCCATATTGTGAGCACGTAAGTACCGTGCAGAATGACAATTAGCATATGTTCTTATAATACCCGGTTTTACTTAAGTTCATTAGAAAAACATTGAGAGAAGTTGTTACCATGTGGATTCTTCCAACTACCATATTTGATAATTATACTATGGGAGGTCTCTGAGGAGTCTTGGTGAGTTAGGAGTTGATCATCAGAACACACCATGGGTAAACAGTACACTCTGGGGACCTGCGGGGGACAGAAGGAGGCTGCCTCCTTGTGCACAACGTAAAAGAGGTGCTGAAGGTCATTTCTGGGGATTCCTAACCCTTAGGCAGCATCTAGGTTCATCTTTCTCTTCAGCTTTAAATATCTAAGGCTTTAAAAATGCTTTAGGTTTGCCTGTTCTGCCATCCTTTAGAATGGTATATTATTTAATAGTATTAGTCATTCCGTCTTATACACATTTGGAGGGTCCAGTTAGCTTTAAAAACCCTTTCTATTGGTTTATCTTTGCACAATGTGGAAGGGGAATTGAGAGGGGGTTGCTCTGCTCCAGAGTCAACTGAAGGTCATAATTCTCTTCACTTTTCATCTGGAAGCCCTGAACCAAACATCTAATCATCTCACTGCCAAAAGAAATAGAACAGAAACAAGGGGGGGTCCTCATACGCTAAAACTATGTAACCCTGTGTTGAGGTCTCTTTTAACAGCATACCCAGAATTACTATCACATTTAATTAAAATCAAGCAGCTCCTGTGAAAACAATGAGTAAGGCACATTCTTGCATTTAATTCCTTCTCATTTCTTAAATTGGCAGCTCTCTCTCACTAAGTTCAGCTATCATCAATATTTCATCCCTCGTCAATGAATCAGAAGGACAAATTAATAAGGTTAACTCTGGATTATGTGATCTAAAAGATGGGAACTTGGTTTCTCCAACTCAAGAGCAGCTTTTTTTTAGGTACTGGGGATGGAACTTGGGTCCTTGCGCTTTCGAGGCAGGCGGTGGAACCACTGAGCTAAATCCCCGGGCCCAAGAGCAGCTTTTTAACTTGTTCCTGCAACTTACAAAGGGAGCAGATCAATCTAATTCTTTTACAGAATTAGAAAGGGAATATATTGGCCTTTTGGAAAATTATTTTACCTTAAGGTTACACTCTTACCCTCTGTGGAGGGCTCAGATAAGATTGGGAAATGAAGAAGTTTTGTGAAATGAAGTTGTTTTGCTTTGCAAAAAGACCACTGCATGCTCCTATTACGTGATCTGAGTCCTCATAATACCTTGATACTGGATGCTTCATCCTTATGCTGAGAATTTCCATGGCTGTGCGTTTCAGGCACAATTTTAAACCTTTCAAAATGTAGTTGCTCTCTTTGATATGAATGTGCCATGTTCTCTGATGTAGGCTCATAGGTCCAACTAACTGAAAGCCTCAATTTATGGGAAGAAGAAAAGCGAGGCTGGGGACACAGCACAAACGGTGTTTACGCCACTGAAGTTCTTTTGAAATGGAAAGGCTCTGCATGAAGAAGCGAACAGTTATGCCACTGCCTCGCCAATTCCAGTGAGGAGCTCATCTTCAATGTAGTGTTCAACGTAGGTGGCAAAACTGTAATTTTTCCCTTTTTTGAAACTATTTTTTCTTCTTTTATTTTTGAAATTCTCATCTAAGCGACAGTTTCTTGTACTATAGTGACTCCTGCTGGGAGAGGTAAGTTGAAGTAGCTGAAGGTCTCTTACAGATATATCAACTCCCGGCCAGTAAAAAAGATGTCCTAAACGCAGGAGATGGAGTTAAACTGTTCCCCTACCTTGGACGCAATGGCTTCTTTCATCACTAAGAACAAACCCCTAGGTTTTACAATTGAGACTGAGAAACTAGTACAGTACTTGTACAATTTTTGATCTACAGCATCACGACGTGAAGCTGCAACAATTAGATGTAAAGGGTCCATTCATGAGGAATAACATCACTTTGACCCTTTGTGTTAGCTCCTACTGCTAATCTTTCCATAAGCGTGAACTTACTTTCAATTTGAAGAAGATGAAAAAGTCTTTTGCAAAACCCCAATACTGTTTTCTGATCTATGTACCTGAATGGAGAAACGTAGTCTTACCTCGTTTTTTTCCACTACAAGCCAAGCTACTTGTAATCCTTCCAAACCTTTAAAGGGGACCTCCCTTGTTAGCATCTCCCAGAGAACCTGGAACAAAAAGAAAATGGAATTTTTATTCTTGTACTTTATATTTTTGGTATATTACTGAAACTTTATCTATAATTTAATTGTATCCAATTACCAGGTACAACCAACCTCATCTGTAGAAACTTGAACAAAATCTATCTGTATGTATATATTCACACATAGGACTTCTTTCATATTTTATGTACTTTTTATGTTCTTTTTTATAAAGAAAAAACTTAGTTTAGAAGTTAGAGTCAGATTTAAAATTTTATGAAATCAATGAGTCTGAGGGATTTAACTTTATCTCATGAGTTATTGAGTTATATTCCTACAAATCAGATTTTATATTTTGTTAGATAAAAACTCATTCTGCCTTCAACCTCTGACACATTTCTCTATAAGAGAATAACAGGGAATTCAACATTTTTAAAGGTTCAATAATAATATTATAACAAAAACAAGACGCCAATCTAAATCACTGGCAAAGCCATTTACTCTACAATGGTAGATCTTTGCAAAATTACAACATTTAGATTTTGTGTTTTGGATAAATTTCTCTCAAAATAAGGAAACCATTTTCCTCTACCTATAATTTATTATACCATATTCTAAAATGTAATACATGTTTTGTATACACATAGGCTGACTGTGTGTATGTGAGTTTATGTGTATATTAATCTCTATGCAATCCCTGAGATAAGCACAATTAACAAATCTTAACGAGAATGCCCAAAGCAAGCCGACTGGTGCTAGGAATGTTGATTTTGGTTAATCATTAAACACTGAGTAGTGGAGATTTGGACACTCAGTTACTTTCTCTATTTATACAAACAAGATATCCAAAATTTGAGTCTACTAATACTTTGTAAAGTGCATAAAACAATTTTAATTTGATCAATAATAATCATAATAACAACCATTATCATTTATTGAGTGCTTGGAACTATGTTCCAGGTACCCTTTATCTGTGTCATCATGATCAATGGTCAATCTTCTCACATAGGTATTATTCTCATTTTAAAGGTGAGGAAACTAGGATTTCGGAAAGTTAAATAAACTTGCCCAAAGACATTCAGTTACTAAATTACAGACCAGGATATGAACTTGCTGCCTCACCATGAAGGCCAAATTCTTAACCCATCTCATGTAATTCTACAGAGGGAGAAGCTGCGGTGGCAGAAAGAATGTGAATTGCCATGTTGTAGGTACCAAGCCATGGCAGAGGCAACAAGAGACTAAGCAGTTTGGGCTTAAGATTTCTCTTGTTTTTTGGGGGGGTTTTGGTACCAGGGATCGAACTCGGGTCCTTGCGCTTGTGCAGCAGGCAGTGAAACCACTGAGCTAAATCCCTGGCCTAGGATTTCTCTTGTTCAAAACATGAAAGTCTATTTCCAAATGACAATGTAAATGGAGAGTACTCTATTCAAACAAGTTCTGTAAACCTCAATCCACTATTTCCTCAGCTAGCATTCAGTCTTATTTGAGCCATAACATGTTAAATGAATGTGAACTAATACGAAGATAATTAGCAGGAAAATCAGGGAAATTGGCAGATGCTGCTCAAGCAGGAGAAAAAAATTCACTGAAGCCTCTTTGGGCTTTTAATCAAGTGTGTAAGGTACTTCTTTAGAAGAGCTACTGAATAATTCTATTTGAGTCACACAAGTGATTAGAGAAAGGTAAGGGGCATCCCAGAAGGGGACAATTCTAGTGATGGCTGTAAGTAATGGAAGGGTGAGAGCCAGCCCAGGTATGCAATCACCCTGACACACGCCTGTGACAGGGAGGAGGCAGCAAGAGGCCTGAGCAGGAAATGAAGCCCCTCCATTTGCTGCAATTACCCCTCCACTGGTGCTGGGGCTGGGGGAAAGGACATGAAGAGCAAGTAAATGGATGGATTTTGCATTCCTACGGAGAAAGGGAAGAGGGAATTAACCTCAAACAAATCAATTGCTCCAGACTATAAAATGTTCAGATGAGCAACCTCACACCTCCTCCTTTCTCAGTTTGGCCTGTGCATACATTACACTTGTGTGTGTATAAACACACATATATACACACACATTGGTGCTGAGGAAATAGCACCAGAAAATTATTAATTCTTCATTCCTTATTACAAAATATTCTGCTGGAAAATGTCCAAAACCTAGCAAGATCTGAGTTCTAGACCTCAAAAAAATAAAAGGTTCATTTTACTTCTTGTGTCTTGGAAGGACTAATCCCCAAGAACTGTCATGTTTTGAAGGCTATTTGAGGCCTACAGTTTGGTTCCAGAACCAGGACATCTCACTATTTCCTTTTACTAATTCTCCAAATTCAGGAATGCACTAAAAAGTAAGTATTATGAGATAGGATGGCTTTTTCTACACTCAACAAAATGACAATTGGCACACAAAAACCTTTGTTAAAGAACTTTGTTGAAGAAGTCACCAAGGTCTAAAAATATATTAAATGATGCCCTAAAATACCACTTAGGAGGATGCAAGCCAAACATTATTGTGATCTTACACCTTAAAAATTATTTTCCAACTCATTGTATATTGAGACGTTCTCACAGTTAAACTGTGCTCACAAGGAAAATTTCTATTTTCAGTTTACGGAGCAGAAACTTGGATGAGGCTGTGTACTTCTGCCTTTTCTCTTACACACAATAGAAAGCCATTACCTGAGCCTGGCTGGTTCTGGAAGATGGCTCACAGACAAGTGCACAGTGAGGCTCTTAAGCTACTCGGTTTTCAAAGCTGGTTTTGGCTGAGAAACTCCTAGGATGGTAATCCTTTCTGCATTGTCATTAGGGTAGCTTTGTTTTTAGAGAGTAACAAGGCCTTGTGTTCTTAGAAGGCTTATTCTTTCAATGATTTTTGCCTTCCTGAAGTCCCTTCTTTTTTTGCGGATTACACACTGAACATACTTAATGGTCCTTCAAGAGAAGTTAACATAAGAGGGCAGGAAAATCTTTCTTATAAAATGAATAGAGGAACAACTGCCTGCCTAGCAATGTTTACCCCCTTAGAAACAAGGATCACAGGATCCATTTCTGGCATTGGCAGCACGTTTCTTTAAGCCAGTACAAGGCCATGTGCTAGAAAGCAACATGCATCTATGAAGCTGAGGAGGGCTGGTACCCTTGAGAATATTAGAGGTTAAATTCTTACAGCAAATCAGAAAAAATAGAAGAATAAAAAGCAAAGATAATTTGTAACTCTTTTTTGTGGACTTATTCATTGGTGTGTGACTACTGTGTGTAAGGGGGATATTTCAATCAACAGAATAAGCTCTTAATGAACTACAGGTGCTTTATGCAAACAGATGGTCCCGCTGACAGAGTTCTGGCTATGGACTGCTCTTTGAAAGGACATCAAAAAATCTGAATCATCACGTTGTTTTCTTAGGTAGGTATCATTTTCAATGTTTGTGGACCACAAACTTCCAAAACGAACATGGTCCTAACCTTAACAACCATCGTTTCTGGCTCTTTCATTTAATATCTACTTTGAACATATAATGCTTTCTTCATTTAAAAAATGTGTGATTATCTAAAACAAATGGTTCTAGAAATTATGCCTTGTACATTTTCTTTTCTTTTTTTTTCCCCCATTAACTTTATTGGTACATTTTAGGTATAAAATACAGTTACATTCATCATTGGGATCTTGTACCATTACAT